AACCAAACCAAACTAGATATTAAAAAAACACTGATTAATCAAAACAACTTTTTTATTTATCAAAAGTATTCATGATATCAGCCTACTTTGTTATAATGTCCCGTAATGCATTGGGGTTGTCTAATGATGACAACAAAAGTGACTTAAAAAAAAGGTAGTAGGTACAGTAGCTGGTAGCTTCATACTACGTTTTCTATATTTTTAAAATTTAAATACTGTTTTTTACATTTAATAAAGTAATTTTATTATTTATTTATTATTTATATTTAAAACAAAGTAATTTGAGAGGAATTTAGTAACACCTAAAGTTAAAAAATATATGATGACTAGAAACGAATTGAAGGATCGATGTGAAGACAATTATTAGGGTTTCAGAAAGTTATAAACATGATGACGACCAACTGCTGTAGGGCAGGGAGTGACTTCGCGGCTACTCCAAGGCCTCAGTAGCTTCTGGGACTGGTGGCTTCGGTGACTTCTCCAACACCGGACAGTTTCAGGAACTACAGAATTGGTCGATATTCTGCTAGTGTAAAGCTTTTTGGCTGAGTTCGGTGGAGCCTGAGTCGTCGGCTCGTGGTATTTGTTGGGCGCCATATCATCATATGGGATGTAAGGGCTTGTCCAAGTATGACACCTTATACACTCCCACGGTAACTTACAGAGGTACCAGTCAGGGTCAGTTATAGGGTTCGACCAGTCTATTCGAAGAACCCTCTACGTATCTTCCATCTTTAATTGATAAGTAACATTCTTACACAGGAAGTAAATAAAAACAGTAGAAGCAGGTGAACAAGGTCCAGCTACAGAGTCTAACGTTAGTAAAATGGGAGCAGAGCCACGACATCGGACTGCCAGGGTACAGAGACCCTATTTGGGAACCGAGACCAGACTGAGGCAGAGAGCGAGTTTATTTTCTGTGGCATGGATTCTTTGTTTGGTGTTTTGGTGTCCTGTTATAGGTTTTTCACCTCTTCAGGACGTGGTTTGTTTTTTGTACGAATGGTGTTTTTCTTTCGCTGGCTTCTTGGACTTGGCTTTGGGTCGTCGAATGAGCGTCCTGGGCAATCAGCGACGAAAGGGGTGTAGGTTAACCGTCATTTTTAAAAGTTATTATGCTTTATATGACACAAGTTGGCTTAAAAGTGTAGAATCTATTGTTTATTTTTGTACAATAACTTAAGGACCACCCTGTATATATAATATATTATAATAATAAATTGAAAATAAACCATAAACCTCCCGAATCTTTAGAAGTTTTATAATATATTGTGCTTTATCCCATTATAATAAATATAATTTAATTATAATTTATTGTTTTAGAATTCCTTGAGAAAGTTTCATTTCCTAGAGGACGATCAAGATGTTGATAGCGAATTTATTCAGAATATTGGTAACAGTAAACACTTTGCAACAAATGGTGGGTAAAACTATCTCTAAATATATATTTAGTGACAGATATTCATTATGTACTAGTTATAAAATTTGATAACAAGAAAATAGTATATTACATAACGAGAGTTGTAAGAAGCTTATTACATGCGAGTAAAAAAGTTACAACTCAAGTTGTGTACTATACTTTTTCTACGATTATTTTCGTTTATAAAAATAAAATTAAATTACTACTATATTTACACTGACAGATTAAAAATTTTTAATCTGTCAAAATAACGTCTGTTAATTCGTTTCCATTAGCCAATTCGGCTTATGTGATATTACACATTTTTATAAAACTGAAGCGTAATTTTTTTTATTACGTGCTAGTCATTACGTGTCAGTATCTGTTATGATACATTTACTTAGCATCCAAATAGTAGGTAATAAACAATTTACTACTAAGAGAGTAGAAAAAATAATAAAAATCCTAAGAAGAAAATTGTAGTAATATTTTTTTGCTCATAACAATTGTTTCCAAATATTTTGATTTATTTATATTGTTGATAATTTCTAGGATATTAAATATTTATATATATATATATATATATATATATATATATATATATATATATATATATATATATATATATATATATATTCCAGTCGTCATAGTCGATGTTGAACAAACTAAATTTTGCTGAGAATGTTAATTTTAGGACCTCAAAAAAGATGAAAAAGTTTACCACTTTTACTCCCGAGCTTTCCCCTAAAACGCCCCTCGTGGGGGGAAAACGAACAAAATTGATTTACCAAAAATCTGTACGGCATAGAAAATTTTGTGTAGAATAAATGTTCTCTTAGAAACAACACTTGAAGCGACCGGCGATTTTGAATGTGAGTTACGCGCGCCAAATCAATTTTAAATAAAATATGCATCAACTCGACAGTAAAAATTTGATCTTTTCGATCAGCGTGTTCTATCGACAAAAATCAAAATGCGTGCAGATTTTGTATGCAATTTTTCAATTTTGCAGCTGTTAAATAAATAAACGTTGCGGGATTTTTGCCTTTTTTAATGATTCTCATAAGATCAATAAAATTTATCACCTTCATTGGCCGGTCACTATGGATATTCCGTTGATAAACCTATAGCATAAAATTTTGGTTTATAGTTTTGGCAACAAATATGAGGCATTTGAAATATGCCTAAAAACGCTGAATTTAAAGTTTAACATTTAAAACTGCTTTTTTTAATTATACAAGTACTTTTTTAAAACTACACAACTTCAGTTACAAATTCAACCTACTACCATATTTGTGGAGGCGTTTAATGTGATATGTGATCGTTTTTTACTTAAAAAGTTTAAATTTTGCGTTTTTCTGATATATTTCAAATGGCTCATATTTGTTGCCAAAACTCAAAATCGATATTTTATGTTCTACATAAGTTCTGAAGATTCTAACAATGAAAATTTCACAACGACCAGTTAATGAAAGTGATACATTTTATTGCTCTCATAAGAATCGTAAAAAATAGCAAAAATCGCCTAACACCTTTATACAAACTGACTTTATTTGGAGCAAAACACAAAAATTGCATACGAAAGCTGCTCTCTTCACCTTTAAAATTAATTTTAATTTTTGTCAATATCTGTGATATCGGCAAAACGATATCGATATTTTGGCGATATCATGGACTTTGATCAAAAAATATCGAATTTTTACCGTCGAGTTGATACAAATTTAATTTAAAATTGATTTCGCGTGCGTAACTGGCATTTAAAATCGTTGGTCGCTTCAAGCGTAGTTTCTGAGTACTAATAAACAGTTGACTTCATTCTACTGTAATGTAAATATAGCAAGAAAATTAAAAATAGAAAAAAATAAGGGCTAAGTAGCATAGAGAAGATAATATTTATTCAAGTAATTATTATATATTCCATATTAAATACAGTAACGTATACATTTTAAATTATACAAAGAATAACAATTGACCTAGTTTGACACAAGCTCAAATGTTAAAGAATTACGAAATCTGAAGACCTTTGTGGAAATTAATACAACGAAGCGACACACCATCGCATGTTACATTCCAACACGTAGAACAGTATAGCAGAATCAGCAAAATAAACCAGGAATGTTCGCGGGACATAAAAACTAAAAAAAATTGGTCAACCAGTCAGTAGTATCGAGGGAGTGCTCAAGGCATTAATTGCCAGCTCCGTAAGCGCTCGGACGCGAAAGCGTCCAGTACGCGATCAGTAATAGCTGGGCACCGTGACTGCCCGCTCTGGCAGTAATTGTCGGCGGTAGCGTCCAGTTAGTCAGTATCTTCGGGCAGGGCTGTCAAGACGATAGGCGCCTCCAGATACGGTGAAAACGCGATTGTTATATTTTGACTATTATAGTTTGAAAAAAAGTGTCGGCTACCGGGCGAGTGAAAGGTTCATGCCATAACGCAACATTCTTCACAACTGACTCGAATTCCAGAGAGACTGAAGGGCGTATTGATTAGCTAGAGCCTAAATACGCGAAAGGTAACAAAAATCTATATACTAACCCGAGTAATATATAGTAGTACAGATTTGTCACCCCTTTACTTTCTTGCTAAGATCTCTTCTCGTCTCCCTTCGCGCCGAACGAGTTATTATTGATTATAACTGACAGCTTGTTAACTTAATTGTAAACCACATAGTATATTCAATACATTTGTAGACTCGAAATTTGGTTTTAATGTTCCTTCCGGCCGATTCAGATAGAGACCAGAAGAGTACCAAATTTCTGCTTATACATTTATCCGGCTTCTAAAGTAAGCCCATAAACTCAAACTCTTTACAGGATCTGAGACCTAGAAGTCCTTAAATCCCTATCCCGAAACTTCTCTACCTTCTTGTAAATCCACGAAGGCGAGCCAGCCATTTCAGACTAGTGGGACCAGTAAGCCTTGCAGCCGCTCGCAGGGATAACCATCCTTAAGGTTCATATCGAGAATGTTCCAGTGGTGACAGCGTTGTACAGTGGTGAAGATTTTTCTCACCCTCTAGTTCCAGATTTTACAATAGGGTATACACCCCCGACGTGTACAGTGGTGACAGCGGAGCGCCCCAGTACTTATACACTACACAAAAAGTACTAATAAACATTTTTGTTCAAAATAAAATTTGTTATTTGAAACAATTTTTCTATTGGGTAAAATTTTTTCGATTTTATCGTTACTTCCTACGATCGGGTGTTTTAGAGAAAGTTTAAGAGAGACTGGGGATAAAAGTGATATTTTTTTGTATCTTTTTGGGTCATTAAATTGACATCAGCTTGTTCGGATGAATTTTAGAGCTCAAATGTCTGACGATTGGACTTGTATGCAATATTTAGGGATTGTTTATAACCATATAATTTTAGACAACCAATACTTTTCTCTTTACAATCCAATCTTCAATTCAAAGTCAAAGGTAAAGCGTTCTACTCATGATAAAGTTCGGCGTCAACAACAATCCATTGATCAACTCAGTGACGTTATACAGACTCTTTCAAACAATGTCCAAAGTATTGTCAACAGACACAATGAAATTTGTAGTAATCTAGTGGGGGTGAGTAGACCGCTAGAATGTTTACCAGACGACAGAATGAAACATCCATCAAATCACAATAGTCCTAGAAACTGTAAAGATATTCAACTTCAAGGTAAGTACTTATTGATCATTAGTTATATCTTTTCAAAAAAAACTCAAGAGTAATGTTAACAGTAGAGAACAGTTAGTGTTTTACCCTGAGGTCTAATCCAAATTAGGAATAGAAGATACGCCCGCTTACGATTATTTGAAGGGGTAAGAACCAAAAGGATGTTACTTATTGTAACATCTGTAAAGACATTTTGTATAGGATTTTTAAGGAAAAAAGCGCATAATATATTTAAGTGTTTAATTAAGATTCACAAATGTTGTTACATGGTTGATTAACAAAAAAAAAGTCACTTAGACCTCTTTGGTTCTGATCTTTTTTAGATTTTTTTTAGAAAACGATGATTTTCCTAATAAGAAAATTTTATTGCAATAGTAAACATAAAAAAATATTAATTGTCATAGTCAGAATAGATTTCAAGATCATTATTTTCTTCTTGGACATTTTCTTCCGTTTGAGTTTCCGTCGTTGGCTTACTTTTTGTTGAATTTTTATTCTTTTTGGGTTGATGGGCCATATTTTGGTAAAAGGTATGATAAACTGGGGGAATAAAAGGCAACAGCTGAATAAGATATTCCCACTTAGCATATGGAATTTCCAAAACGGCTCTATACAGCGGTTGGTTTAAATTTTCCACAGATAAATTTGGTCTACCTAAGTTAAGTAATGAACACTTTTCAGATTAGAAAGCAAGGTCATTATTTGGATGCCTCGTTGTATGGAACACAAGGAATAAAAAGTGTTCGTGTCTGTACTCAAACCATACGATTTCTCGCCATTTTATTGGTCGCTTTCCCATGTCTTTTTTTGGATCACACATGATCCTATGAAGGTAGTCAAAGTCGAGAAAGTCATTTTGTTCCATAGTATATACTTGAAACTTTTTGGAAGTTTTTGATATTAAATCTGTCCAATGTTCTGGTTCTTTTCTCGATTCTAGCAAAGAAATTCTTATTTTTATTTTGGCCACCACATTGGTCACTGTAGCAAATCAATTCTTCGACAGTTGGTGACAAATCTTTTATGTACTGCAAAAAAATATTAATAAATAATAGTGACTAAGTAAGGTAGTCTAAATAAATTAAGTGACTTAATAAGACATGATCCAATTTCTTGGGATCCTCGTAGGCTAATGGTCTCATTTCATAACTTCCATACTCGGAAGAATATACTGAGAATTATAATGATGATGATGATAATACGAATGAATATGTTCTTCATTTTATCTAAACCATTATATTGTATATAACGAGCTAAGAATAGCGAAATACGCATATTACAATGGCAGGTAGACAAAATCTATTCCTTTTCGTATATTCTTTTTTCAATTTATTTCTAAACGACAAGAGTTTTTAGATATTGTATGAAAAATAACAGGCGGCATCTGGTACCCTTTACAGAAAAGGACAAATAATATTTCCCGACTTTTTTTAATATGTTAAAAAAGTTTTTTATCCAAATTCCCGGGTTCAAAGTACATTTTTTTTTAAGATAAATATTGTCATCGAAAAAATGAAACGATAGTGCCAAGAAACTAAGCAGCGTGTATTTTTCTGTCCATAAATTAGTAAAAGAAACTTCAGAATTTCTAAAAAGTGATAATAACTTACATTTTATCATGTTTAGCAAAGTCTTCATTTACATTGATCAACTCTATGTCAAATTTTATAAAACCTCAACTTAAAATGTTACGTAAATTAAAAATATGTTATAAAGACCCTTAGGGTCAGCAGCAACCCCCATTTGGAGTGTTACGTTGACATGCAGAGTATCTGTTAATATATTTGTTTTACCCAAATTTTTTTCCGAAAATGTTCTCTGATGTAGTCCAAAGGGGTATTTTTATTGATATAAATTTTATAAAAGAATTTTAAATAAAACTTTTGTGATTTATGGTATACAGCCAACTATAGGAATTTTATTATGCTTTTGCAAAACTTATTTTATTGTTTTAGGTGAAAATGTATCTGGAATTTATGAAATTCATCCAAAAAATAGCAGCAAAGCTATTAAAGTCCTGTGTGATATGGAAATCAGAGGAGGTGGATGGACTCATGTACAAAAACGATTTGACGGATCAGAGGACTTTTACAGAAATTGGAAAGATTATAAGTTTGGATTTGGAAACCTAAAGGGCGAGTTCTGGATAGGACTTGAACAGATACATACTCTTACCAGTATGTACTTTGTATTTTTCCAATTTGGATTACAAGATTTCGGTGCAAATGCTTTTAATGAATCGTTTCTTGTTTTGGGCATTGTCTTTTAGACGACCGTTTGGCTACATTTGTAGGCAGCTTCTTAAAGAACAGAGTAGGCTATTATTTACAATAACTCATACACCGACATACTCAACGTATCCAGAGACGAAAATAAACAGCCGAGTTAATTTAGACAACGCAGACGTGAAACGTAAATACAACGTCCATTGTTGTATTTCTTCAGTTGGTAGGAGTTGCTGTTAGCGCATGGTATCTGTTGACGCATTCTGATGGATGCGAAGAGTTATTTTCCAGATAGAGTATACTTTCTCTAGATTTTCTCCCTGATTACATTCTCGATATAATGGATTTTTCAAACAAAATGGGACGTTCAGTATTATGGCAGACTTTGGCCACTAAGAAATGTGAAAACAGTCAAAACTAATGTTTTGGGTACCGTAAATACTCTTGGATACGGCACTTGGAATTTTGATTAAAGTGATCAGTTTCGCGAATATATACTTAGTCACAAAAATGTGAAACGAAATATAAACCAAACAACAAGAAAGGCAAAGGACAATCTTTAAAAGACTGCAGAAATTGGAAACATTTTCTCTGGTTAGTCGTAAAATTGTCCACAGGCCTTCTATGTGATGTCTTTGTCTACAACTTAGCAGTAGTAAGAAGTAGAATCTGAATTAGATGTACTGAATGATTCATTCCTAAAAGAAGGATGTCAGATATCTCCAAGAGTTCTAGGAGGCCAAATCACATTCACTTTGCTCTGAATGATCTAGCAGGGGATAGTTCTCTGTCAAAAAAAAAAAGAATAATCTAGTAGTTTAAAATTCTAAGTGGTTGTGCATTTTTTATTAGATTTTTTTATTTAAATTAACGTGTCTCATCAACAAAGGCTATGGTTAAGGATATGATTAGAATAATAATGATTAGGGGAACCTGGCCTAAAATGACATACTACTTTTTTGTCGTCCAATAACTTTTTTATTTTTTTAATAAAAATTAAAAAAAAACATAAATGTTCTTCATTGTTTGGAAGTAGAACAGATCATGGAACATAAAACTCTAACAACACAATATTTTTTAATTAAAAAAAGGAAACAAAATAAACGTTGCTATGTCATTTTATCCAAATATATTCGGCTAAAACGACACACTCACATGGATAAAATGTCATATAAACTAAATTAGCAAAGTTCACAAATAAATTTTTTGCACGATTTTGAGATACCAGCACAATCACAGTGTGCCCATTTTGAGCATTTTTGGCACCTAATCCAGAATTCTTTGGACCTTGAATGGGAGTACAAACTGTTACAATATAAACATGGAGAATTATTTTCGTCTTCGTCATCATCTGACACAATGGTCTTTGTTTCCTCCTCGCGATCTTGTGTCATTAAAGTCAGATTCTTAATTGCTCGCTTTGCAGCTTGACGTTTTCTGTAGCTCGCTTCTCGAGTGCTTTGGCTTTTTGTTCTTTCATATTTGGGGTAGCCGTTAGAACTTTTGTTTCTTCTGATTTTCTTTTTTTGGAGCGTGACTGGACACCTGAACACGATGGAAGAGGTGAAATGTCAAGTGGACGAATACCGGGATTAATTGAAGAACAACTTTCAACTGAGTTTGGTCTAGGTGTAGAAACCGGTTTGTTTCCTTGATCTGGAAAATCTTGATGTCGCAAAACAGTATCATTCTCTTCTTCTTTTGACTCTGTTAGGGGTTGAATTGTAACTTCTTATTGAATATCTGTTATTTTGGAAGGATTAAATAAATAATCAGGAAATATGTCGGGATTAAGGGGCCAAATTCCAGTCTTTAAAAATCCACTAACGGCATTTTGGTGTGTAGCTGCTTTTCCATACGCTGTAGCAAATAATCCTCCAACAAAAAGTATTGCGAAACTGTTCTGCCTGGATGACACTTCATCCACTTGGTAACTTCTTGATCATAGTAGTTCTTTACACTAGTAGGTACAGTGCGGCGGAAAACACAATATCACTATTCCATGTTCTTTGGCAAAAGTTAAAACATTAATGTTTTTATGGCTCGCATGCCCATCAAGCAACAGCATAACTTTGTCTTCTATAGAAGGAGTAGAATATTCTTTAAAATGTTTTATCCATGTTAGGAACACTTCGCCTGTCATCCATCCTGTTTTCTGTGCTATTCCTAAAGTTCCTAAAGACGCTTCATCTATTAATTCTTTTTTCCAATTTTTCCTGGGGAATATAAGTGTTGGTGGAACATAATTCCCCACTGAGCTAATGTAAGCAACCATCGTTATGTGCTGCCCTCTTTCCGCACTTGTAATTAGGCCCACTTGCTACCGACCCTTGGTTGCAAATATTTTGCCGGGTTTTTGAACCGTGGATAGGTCTGATTCATCCACATTCCATATGCGTGTAGGATTAATTTTGTTAATTGTAATAGTATCCTCTAAAAGTTTTAAAAAATTGGCAATTTGCGGCCTGTTGAATGACTGCGCTCTTGCTGCAGACGTGGACTCGGGTTTTCTAAGGGATATATCGGGGTGTCTAGACCGAAACCCTCGTAACCAATCCCAACCAGCCAACTTAGTGGTTGTGTTAAATCGGTATACTATTCCATTTCGATCTGCTAACTGGTAGGATAAAGAACGAACGCCATCACAAGATAATCCAAACAAACTTGATTCTAGGAGTTTTATGTGTGTTACGAGGTCTCTTTCTAATTCTACAGAGAACGTAGTTTCGTACCGGCCAAGACCTTTATTAGTACCTGATACCCGTTTATTCTTGTCTGATGCTCGTCTTCTTAAAGTAGCTTGGGGCACATTAAAAGTTATCGATGCTTTTAACCAGCCCATGTCTCCACACTGGACTGCCTGGATGGCTCTTTGCATTTGTACTGGATCCCAAGACTGGCGTGTACTTTTCCTTTCGTAGTGTCCCACCATACTAAAAAAGAAAAATACCATACATTAATATTCTACCTACCATATTATTATTAAAATTTATATCGCCTACCAAAATATTTTGGTACTCAATAAAGCACAAACCACCTTTTAACAAGTAAACGACTGAACTGATCACGACGCCCGTTGGAACATCAATTATGCACCACGTGATGCTCTTGTATAAAACTTCTTAGCGCATAGCCATGTTGCCAAGTTAGAGATACACCGGATGTGTCATTTTACCCTAGTATGTCATTTTGGTCCAGGTTCTCCTACAGTATAGGTATTTAAAAAAAATGACACTTGAAGCAAAATGAGAAGAACAATATTTATATGGAGCAGTATAACTGACAGTCTTTGAGAAACATTATCACATTATTAAAGTTATTATTGACGTCCTAAGAGTGGCTGTTAGGTCGTCATCCAGTTTGTATAATTTTCGAGTGTTGATGTATAGCTGGCACTTAACTATTATAATATGTGATTGACGGTTACATAAATATTGCAGATAAGGCACCAAGGAGGATTGCTTTGACTTATTAGGTAACCGTTCGTAAGACATCAATGTTAGCAATTATTAGTCTTCTTATGACAACTTTGTCTCTTCTGCAAAGTGCTGATATTTTTAAATGGGTAAATCTACCCCAAATTAAATACTTTCCATTGAAATATCAGAACGGGATGCATCTTTAGCCGCATAATCTGCATTTTCATTTCCTGTAATATCTACATGCAATGGAGTCCAAATTATAAACAATTCGTTCTTATCTTTTAATTGGTGGCATTCCTTGTGGACACTCGTTAATTATATGATACACTTCTAACATGAATTAATGGATTTTGGAAGTAAATATTCTTGATGGATACGTATTAGATTTAATTTTGCTAATTTATATTATTTACTAAAAATAAAGAAAACAATTCTGTTTTGACTTTCGAAAATTGATTTGTTTTTTTTTATTTACTGTATTTTAGTGCATAAACCTAATGAACTATTAATAGAGTTAACTGATAGAAATAACACCAAGAGATATGCTCATTACACATCTTTTGCCATTGGTCCCGAAATAGGAGGCTATAATTTGACGACAATAGGTGGATTTAGTGGTGAGGTATCAGATGCGATGAAAAACCATAAATTTGAAAAATTTTCCACCAGAGATTTTGACCAAGACCAGTCAAATAAAAGCTGCGCTGAAACATTTTGTAAGTATTAAAATTTCGGAAAAAATTAAATTATAGTATATTACTTCATGAGGCGGAGAAGCATGACTTTTCTTGACGCGCCCGATATTAATAATATATAATAGAGGGCAAGTCAAGAAAACTCGCTTCTTTGCCGAATAAAGTATACTATTTTTTCTTCAAACGTAGAAAAAAACGTCAAAAAAAAACTGCTGCCGGCGGAGACATCAAACTTTGACAGGATCAAGTTAGATAAGTAATGTCATCATTATTTGACGTTTGAAGAAAAAATCTTTTATAGTCATCAGAAGTAAACTAAAATATTGTTTTACACAAAGATATAGAAATAATCATTTTATCACATTAGCACGGCAAATTTATTTTTTCTTCAAACGTCAAATAATGATGACATTACTTATCTAACTTGACCCTGTCAAAGTTTGATGTCTCCGCCGGCAGCAGTTTTTTCCCATGTCTTTACGGCGGAGGGAAAAATGTTGTCATGGCAACAATATGAAACATGTCACAAAGCAACAATACAAATGTCATTAACAACAATTAAACATTATTTTTATTTATAGGAATATTAAAAGTACAATTAGTTAATGAGGCATTTTCAAAATTGAAACCGTGCAAAAATGTTCCCGACTCTTGATACGCATTGGTAATTGTTGATGATACTGATGGTCGAGAACAACTTTCAGCAATCATTCCCGATGTTGGCGAATCATGAGGGTTTAAAATTTTTTAAGCATTATCGTTCTTATTTCTTATTGAATCCTCTATACATCCTTCGGCAACCGTGCTTGATTTCCAGCCCCCATGTCGTTTGAGGTATTCTAGATTTCCACCTCCATCAATTAAAAGTGTTGCTGAAGTTCGTCGTAAAGAGTGACCCGTGTATGCGCTTGCATCGTTTAAATTTAAATAACTAGCTACTTTTTGAGCTACTGCGCTGATCGACTATATTCCCATGACGCTTCGGTAACACTTTCCATTTTGGTACTTGATAAAAAATCGGTTTTCTGTGAAATTTTCAGGCCGCAGTGATGCATACTTTTTATACAGTTTAATGTAGTTTTGACCAATTATCGTAAAAGATCTAATTTGTCGTGTTTTACTGTATGGGATTTTGATAATTATTACATTTTCTTTATCCTCAATGTCCACAGTCTTAATGTTTACCATTTCGTCTCATCGACAGGCACCCGTAACCCCAATTAACAACACAATCTGAAATATTTTTATAATTTAGTAGAGTATACTAAATGCTTTGCAATATAATTTTTTTACCTTTAATCCTAAATACAACTTATCTGGCGCTTCAAACAAAAATTTATCAAACTCGTCTTTAGTGAAAACTTTAGACTTCTTTGCACTATATCCTTCGCTTGTTTTTTTTTTCAGAAAGGCACGTAACTTTAAAAATTTGCTTGTATCCACATTTTTTCTAATAACTAACTCGGATTTTATCATAGAGTATCGTGACCACATTATAGAAGATTTCCATTAATTTCATTTTCCAATTTATTAAAATATGCCAGTAAAACGTCTTCGGTAACTTGCCGTACTCCTCTTGTATGGCACCACTCTTGGAAGTGCTTGTACGCTAACCGATACTTTATTCCGGACTTGGAGGGCCCCAAACGTGCTACTGCATCTTTGCCGCGGACTCAATTTCGTTTAGGTTTTCCATTTTCCCACTAAATTTGCGCTTGCGGTTGCAACAACAATAAGCTGTCTTTAATAATTGCAAACAACTGTAACCAGGGAGACGCAAATCCCACTTAATTATTTTAATTTCTAACATCTAGACGACTTTGATAGTTGTCACTGTTAATTTTGAGTAAAAATAGCGTATGAATTGTACTATTTATGGTTGAAAATTGCTACGTTTGAAGAAAAAATAGTATACTTTATTCAGCAAAGAAGCGACTATTCTTGACTTGCCCTCTATTACGCGTCTCACTTCGTTCGGCGCGTAATATCGGGCGCCTCAAGAAAAGTCATGCTTCTCCGCCTCATAAATTAATATACTATTACCCAATATTTTCATACGTATATTCAAAACATTTTTTCGCTAACTTGTGCTTTTATTAATTTTTAATGAGTGGTTTTGATAAAATCAATGGTAGGAGTAAGGGTGGAAAGGTAGCTGTCTTAAATCTTATTGATTAGTGAAAGAGGTCTGTTTCTGTTACTGTTACTTAGATCTAAGAATTATTTAAAACTTCTCTTGGATCAGCGTTTTGCATAATGCAGGCTATTGTCTGCAATATTCTAGGGAGACTGAGTTTATTTTTAGCAGTTCCGGTGAGTACTTGTACGCGGCGATGGCATGTTATTTTTAGAATCTTCTTTGCTCTTATGTTTGAGCTTTCGATGGTTCGTAAAAAACCTTCTGCTACAGTTTATATTTGATTTTATATTAGAAGAACGTTGACTACTTCATGGATTATTGCTGGCGAATATTCACGATCCTTGGCCATGATTCTCGTTATTTTTACTAGATTTTTCTGTCCCTTGTCATGAGTTGATTAATTGGTCTTTTGCAGGTTGCTGCGTAGAGTCTCGATCGATATTTGACAATTGGCCTGATTTATAAATGTGTGGCAAAGTAACATTATTATTAATCTTATAAATGTTTTCAAGAGGCTAGTTCTTTTTTTTCAGCTTGTCAAGGATGTTGTTGATATCAGTGTTCTAGTTAAGTGTCTGTAAATTCGACACAAAATAGTACATTGATGGTCTAAATATGAGTGTTTCTGAATTGATCATTATGTGATTGTTCTTCTCCAGGTGTGGTTGAGAACATTTGGGATGTCGAAATATTATTTGAGTTTTAGCTGGGTTTAATGTTACTTTCCATTTATTACACCACCTCTTTGTACACCTGCCCATTATGATAGGTATGAATAAATTACTTTTAGCAAAGGCATGGGCACTAACCATTAGTGGAGTTTTTTGAAGAGACCCGCATCGTCAGATTTGATCGAATCCTTTCTGAATATTTAAAAAGATGCCAATGGCTTGACTGTTATCATCATCATCAACTAGCCTCTAACGTCCACTGCTGAACATAGGCCTCTCGCATGCTTTTACACTTAGTCCGATTTTGCGCCTTCTGAATCCAATTTGTATTCACTCTTGTTATGTCATCTGTCCATCTCGTTGGGGGTTGACCTGTATTTCTGTATTCAGGGTCTCCATTCCAAAATTCTTTTTGTCCACCGGTCATCAACTGATCTTGCTACATGACCTGCCCAGTTCCACTTTAGTGTTGTTATCCTTTTAATAACGTCTGCTACTCCTGATCTTTTTCGTATAGTTGCATTGGGTATTGTATCACGTACAGAAATCCCTAACAGTAATCTCTCTATTGCCCTTTCCGGAACTTGTAGTTTACTCACTGTTGTTCTTGTGAGCGTTAGGGTTTCTGCGCCGTAGGTCATCACTGGCAAAATACATTGATTAAATACTTTTCTTTTCAGACACATTGGAATCTTAGACCTAAAAATATCCTTCATCCTTCCAAATGCAGCCCAAGCGAGGTTTATTCTTCTTTTCAGCTCGATTGTTTGGTTGTATTGACTTATTCTGATCTCATGGCCCAAGTATTTATAGAAGTCAACTGGCTTAATATCTTTGTCTTCTATTGAGATGTTTTTGTTGTGGAATAAATTTGTCATAAATTGTGTTTTTGAAAAATGTCTTTTAAGACCAACTCTCTTTGTGGCAGTATGGAGTTCTTGGAGCATTATCTGTGCCTGATCAAAGCTGTCTGCAATAAGAACAATATCATCTGCAAATTTAAGGTTATTTAAAAATTTTTCATCTACATTGATGCCCTTTTCGTTCCAATCTATTGTTTTACAAGCGTATTCTAGCAAATTTGTAAATAATTTAGGAGACATGTTGTCTCCTTGCCGATCGCCTCTTTTAATACGAAAAGTCTCAATGTCTTCACTAAGTCTTACACAATCTGTAGGATATTGATAGATGTAGCTAATGAGGGATATGTATCGGTGATCTATTCTACATTGTGTTAGAGTTTGGAGCATTTCATTTTGATTGACCGTATCAAATGCTTTTTCAAAGTCGACAAAGACAAGTATCAGGGGTCTATTATATTCAATGGTTTTTTTTAATCAACGACTTAATGTTTTGCAAATGATCATTTGTTCCGTATCCTGCTCTAAATCCTGCTTGCTCGCAAGGTTGATAGAAGTCTAGTTTTGATGTCAACATATTAGTTATTATCTTCATAAACAACTTATAAACGTGAGATAACAAGCTTATAGGTCTATAGTTCTTAAGCTCTGTTATATCTCCCTTTTTGTGCATGACTACTATAACAGCTTTATTCCACTGAGATGGTGTAACCTCTTTTGAAAGGCATAAGTTATATAATTGTGTCAATAATTTCAATACTGTCTTTCCTCCTACTTTAACTGCCTCAATAACGATTTGGTCATCACCAGCTGCTCCATTGTTTTTCATTTGATTTAATGACTTTGAGACTTCTTCAATTGCTATTTCTGGGATATTCTCTGAACCCACATTCTGGACTTTTCTCAACTTGGTGCCGTCTTTCTTACCCCTTTGTCTATATAATTCTGTGTAACATTTTTCAACTACCTTAATTATCTTATCTTTATCTGTTACCACTTTTTCATTTCGATCTGCGAGCTTAACAATATTCTTCTTACCTAGAGCTTGACATCTCTTCAGCACCTTTAAACTTTTATTTGACTTGACTGTGGCGCTTATTAATTGCCTGGGAGGTGAAGCTTGTTACTTCTATCAATGCGTTGTATGCGGAGTAACTAGCTTTCAATCGATATTGGAATTGGGGATGCTGTGGTATTTCTGTAGGTGTTTTTCTAGACTTTTGTTTAAGAATTATTTCGTAGATCTTGCCTAGAGTGCTTAAGAGCGAAATTGGTCTACAAGCGAAATATTCCAGCTGAAGACTAACATATTGACCTTAGAGAGGTCATTAGTTCATATACCACTTATATTTAATACTTTACATATGTTTTTTGTTTTAGTGGGTGCTTGGTGGTACAAAAAATGTTTCGATAGTAATCTCAATGGCAAATTTATTAATATTAAGGAGCCAAGAATAATGAGAGGAAAAGGCATTTCTTGGGTTAATATTTCGTATCACGAGTACTACTTATCTGGTAGCAGAATGTTACTCAGACCACTTGGAAATTATTGATATATTTTTTAAGAAATTGTATATATTAGTATAGTATAAGGGTACTATCTTTACGAACCTGAAACGTATATACATGTATTAAGTTTTAGTTAGTAACTATAATATACTGAGTAATATTGTTCATTCAATGTTAATTTTTATTTATCTTACATTTGAATCAGAGATTCAAGTATAACTATGACTAGTTTTGCCAAAATTACCGAAAATATAGTGTTGAAATATGATTTTAAGTAAATTGTAAAAATTTTATATTTTTAGAAATATTTTAACTACCTTTTAGATAGAAAATTAAATTTGTAAAAACAAATCTTGTTTTATAATAATTTTTCTGAATTAAGTTAGATTAGGTTAGATTAAAGTTATTGAATGGTTAGTCTCTTTACAATCGTATGCTTAATTCATTCAATTTTGCTCAACTTAGGTCTGGAGGCAACGTTCGTTAGATGAGATTGAAGTCACCTGCGCGATGCAGATAACGCTCATTCTTGAAACCGACACAGCCAACAATCACCATTTTATTGGCTTCACGGTGGATTTATTAAAGCTCTCTTGCGGCTTGTGATTCATACAACGGGAGAGAATGGGGTTGACAGATAAATTGAGTTGTATTTGAAATAATAGAATGTGCACCCCGTGTGCTTATCACATGTCGTATTGATGGTGCGAAGAGGTTGAAAGGTTAAGGAAAGAGTGTATCATCCTGTGCCGGCAGGTAACCATAGCGAGAACGCATGACATATGCTGAGAAAGGATGCGGAATACCATTCTTGTCAAAAGGTTCTAAATCGTAAGGTACGAGCCCAGAAGAAGAGACATTGGCTGTATGACAAACTGAACGAGGACATTTAGAGAGAAGGGTATAAAATTGTTATGAGGCACTTTTTTGCTGCGTTCGAAACGCCACTAGGTAGGAATGTTGCGGTCATTCTTGACCTCTTCTTAGCTAGACGGTGGCATGGCATGCAAAAGAATGGGGATATTGAACGAAGTGTACTATTTCTTTACAGTGAATTGGTTGAGACTATTCTGACTCTTAAATTACACCAGGTTCCCGTCTGAGGCGCTTATGTAAACCAAATAGATAGGGCCGACATGGCTTTTGAACCGTATGAAAGCTCTGCTTTATGCAAAGTTGTTTCCGGACTCTTAAAATATCTCAAGGTTAGTTCTACCCCAAGTACCCCAATAGTTCTTCCAAATTCCGAAGAGATATAGAAGTATCAGCAGAATTCACTTTTTTGAGCATGTATTAAATAATATTGCGTGGCAGAATCATGAATCTGATTGAGAGGGACTCGAAACTTTCTGGAGTCGTTGATTTCGGACCTGGAAATCTGGAGTGTAGATCTTATGCATCTTCTTTCATGTAATGGTTGCTTTCAAGCTTAAGACCTGCGAACTTGCTAAAGATTACTTGTAGCTATATTGTGCGAATGAGAATTTGAAGCAAAGACATAGAACGGTAGCGGAAGAGTATATCAGAATAATTTAATTGCTTGCTGAAGTAAGAGCAAGTATCGGCGTAAAGGGGCTGCGAAGTCCGCTTAGGGCCAAGTTGGTTGGCCAGCTTCCTATTACGTGACAAAAAGAAGTTAGTTTTGTTAAGATTTCGTTGGATTATATTAGGCAATGAAGAATAAATGACAGGCTAAAAAAGATTTATTTAGGTAATATATTATAGGTATAGGTATCTAACACAATGTTTTAAACCTTTTTCTTTAAGAGCATCTTCTCTATTATTTCTAGTTCCAAAGACTTGTCTTATTTGCATAGCTTCTCCTCCTATTTTGGATTAAGCGACATTTGCATTAAATATTCGTTTTATTTTAAGTAAAATAACATATTTACTACACGATAAGTTTGTGCAACTATTAGAATATGAATCAATATTCATTTTCATTTTTTTACAAAATGTTGTAAAATTACGTACTTAAAACTTTCTCATTTCATTCTGTTTTAGAACCATTCTTATTAGCCAGAAACATATAATCCATTCATTTTGGAACATTTATAAATTTTACGCATTTTACGAATTTTAAAACATTAAATTTATACACAATTTAACAGTAAGTTCTGTTTATATTTATTATTTTAGATCTTCTTTGATTTAAAGGTTCTTATGATTAAGACAGCTTTGCATATTTTTAGCCTTTAGGTAAAAAATTTAGATGACCTATAATGTTTTTTAACATGTTTATACTTTTTTATTCATTACTTTTACTAGTTTTCAAAAAAAAACAAATTTTAAATTCTTTTCAATTTTTCAGCGAAGTTTAATCAAATTTCGTATTTTTTGAGCTTAACCTTATATTATGTACTAAGTATATTGTAATTACCACATATTTTTGGTTACTTATTAGCAAATCATTAATCGGTAACAATAAGTGAAAGATGTAAATATTTAAGATGGGAGTAAGATCAATAAAATAGTTTTACATTATTGTCAAAATTTTTTTAATAAACGATTTTTCTTCAGCTACTTTTTTTTATTAATAACCTAATGCAACAATATCTTCTTACTTATTATTTATCGATATAGTACTTATCACAACCATTTTTCAGTGTCAGTTTTTTCAATAAAAATAAAAGTCGTTTATAAGAACGCAAATCTGAGTGAAAAAGGAATTAATGTCAATGGAGAAATGCTTAGTCATTTGAGGTTTGCTGACGATATTGTCCTTTTTGCTGACAGAATCGATGATGCAGTATCGCAACTAGAGAAACTATACCTAGCCTCCCTACAAGTTGGATTAAAAAATCAACCATACAAAAACACAAATCATGACAAATCTTGTGTTAAGCGAAAAGATTTCAGTAAATGGCATGCATATTGAAGAAACCACCTCTTATAAGTACTTAGGACATGAGATACGCATAGGAAGAGATAATCAAACGTGCGAACTAAGCCGCCGCATAGGACTCACTTGGGTGGCATTCAGCAAGCTGAACTATGTTCTTAAATTAGAACTGCCTATGTGTCTTAAAAGAAAAGTCTTTAATCAGTGCGTGTTGCCAGTACTTACATATGGTGCAGAGACATTAACACTAACCAAGAAAGTCAGAAATAAAATTTGTGTTACCCAAAGAGCCATGGAACGATCGATGTTAGGCATTTCTCGTAGGGATCAGATCACGAACAAGGAAATTAGACGGAGAACAGGAGTGACAGATGCTATAGAAAGAATTATGACCCTTAAGTGGAACTGGGCGGGGCACATAGCTAGAATGTCGGATAACAGATGGACACAGCGAATAATACAGTGGAGACCAAGACAAGAAGCAGATCGTAGTAGAGGTCGTCCACCAACAAGTCAGTAATTATTTTTCCAACTTTAGATTCCATACTAAAGACAACTGTGAAAATGGTGAATAACTAATCCTAGATCCATGCAAAGGAATAATATTAATGTCAACAACTAAAGTAAAAAAGGAGAAATGGATGACAAATAAAATTCTGGATCTAACAAAATAAAGAAGATGCAAAATTAAGAATGAAATCCAGTACAAGCAATTATAAAAGATCTTTAAATGCAAAATAAAAACTAGTGTAGGTGCCAGTTAAGTCACTATGGCCTTTTTAATTCTAATTAGTCCACCCAAGTTTTCTTTATGCTTTTTTTTGGCCGCTGATTACGAATTTCGAGGGTGGATTTCATTCGGACTGGTCAAAAAATTGTTATAAATAATTTAGTCATTTATAAGATTTTAACTAGTAAATCAAAAGAGCTATTTTCAAACTCAGCTATCACACATTTTTTTTCTAAATTAAATTTGTTCATTGAAAAAAAAAAAACAGAAAAATAGCGTTTACTAAATTCTAAGCCAATAATTATAAAGCATATGAAGTATTTTACTAAACAAAGATGGAAATATCACAGTAAATAATACAAAGAAGCTACAAAGATAGCAAGAATATATTGAAGAATTGTTTCTAGAAGGATAATTGGTTATGAATGCAAAATTAATCACGACTGAGGCTTTTATACCCAAACCTGACAAAATTGGATAGGAATATAAAAAATTAAGTCTTTGAGGCCTATAAATGTGATGATGTTATTTATACTAAAGACTAAAAATTTTCGCGAGGCGCATTAGATATTGGTTGAAAGTCAGTCTATTACATCAGGGACTAAATGTATATAGAGCAAAGTGGGTACGTTTTCGAAAACCCAGAAGTAATTCTTGGTGCAGTTTTTGTCATAGAGAGATAATTTGATAATATCTACGAAGCAATTACAAGTGCGACTCACACATGTAGCCAGAACCTGTCCGCAGAGAGAGTCTTATTTCCTCTTTTATAAACTTTTTTCAGCTAGACTGACTTTCTTTTTTTTGGTGCACTCCATTACTGGAGGTTTGCGATCACTATATCAGAATGTTCTCTATTATGCAACAATGTAAGTAATTGTTGAACGTTCATGCCCGTTTAAGACCTGATATTGCGAAGCCCTCTACCTACTACGAGGTCTTTATTTTCTTCTCTTCATTTATGACTGTACGATTCGTAATGTGTTGTATCCATGATATTCTGAGCATTCTGCAATAAAGCCACATTTTAAAGGATTCTAACCGTTTCATGGTATTTAATTTTATTATACAAGTTTCAACTCCATACAGAAGGACTGACCAAATGTAATTCTTTTTTACTCTTCTTCGTCTTCGACTTTTCCCATTATGAGTTCGCCGTTTCCGACTTCCATAGTACTCTATTTTTCCAGTCATCTTCTATGGTCTCCATCTATTATAGCATTTCCTATGTATGTTTTCCATCTTGTATCTCCACTTCCCAATTTGATATTTTGCTTTGACTTCATGCCATATTGCAAACTTTTGTTAGCAATTTAATGCCCTTGTCACCTATGTTTGATAGCATTTTCGCAGTGATTTTATTAAACCCAGCCGCCTTACCTTTCTTAAGTTTTTGTTTAATTTCGTTTATTTCTGCTATACGTAGTTATTCCGCCCGAATTTTGGTCTTCTAGCTCTAACTCTTCTTGTTC